TTTAAAAAGCTTTTTAAAAGTTCCGACGATCAGCTGTGCGACAATCAGCTGTGCTGCGCGATTGTTGGAACTTTAAAAAAAAAACTTTTTAAAGTATTTTTAAACTACCCGTTCGGTTAGCTCACATTGCTACTGAACCGTTAGCAAAGGTAAGTGGATTTCACCCCTGGACCCCAGGTTAGTTGGCACAGCCATATCTTCAAAGTCTTTCAGAAGGCCAAATGGGTGGGAGCAGATATGACATAGGGAGGGAGGGGGGAATGTTCCAGGGAGTGGGAGCCACAGCAGACAAGGCTTTTCTTTTGGATCCCACCAGCCAAAATTCCTTGGCTGATGGGGTCCGCAGAATGCCCCTTCTGCCAGTGTGGATGGAGTGGCTAATGCCATCAAGGTGAGCTGATTTCTCAGGCAGCAGTGGTGTGGAAGGTTTTAAAGGTAATAACCAACACTTTGAATTGGACCTGGAAGCAAACTGGTCCAGATGGTACAGCTCACAGAACAGCGACGTAACATAGGTCTCTCCAGGGTCCCCAAGAATTGCCTGCGCAGTTGCGTTCTGCACCAGCTGAAACTTATGGATACTCTTGAAGGGCAGCCCATGTAGATCGTATTGAAGGGAGGATAATCTCACATCACATTGCCATTGTTCCAACAAGATTATATCTGTTATGTGCTCACTGTCTTGAGTCAGGTCCAAAATAATCTGGGATAGGCTCATGGAGGTTGAAATCTCCCAGGACCATAAGCATGGGGAACTTCACTGCTAACCCTGAGATGACCTGAAGCAGCAGGGAGGTTGCCATGCAACAAGAAGCAACAATTCCAACTGATCTGATGAGGCCAGCTTCAGAAACATGAAAATCAAGGGCTACACAGGTTCAACCTGAGTGACATGATTCTCTTCTGGCGGAATAGTAATATCCCATTTTTCCCCTCCAGTAATTCTTCTGTCTTTCGAAGTTATAAGATAGAAGTTTATTGTATTAATAACAGTTCAATAGAGAGATAGAAATGGACACACTGGGAATAGTTACAACTCCCCACAGATATTTGATGCTGTCATCTGTACTTCTTTAAACTTTGTTGACATTTTTCAAATCAAATTGCCTGAACCAGAATCTTCCTAGTAAGCTGAAATTTGATAGTAACACTCTTCCTACAAGGAAAGTGACATTTCTACCTGTTGTACAGATATAAAAAGCAGCACTTCTGAAGTCATGTAACACACATGGGACATTACATACCAGGCTTAAAAAAAGGTGGGAGGGTGATCAAGTGGGCACACAGTCCCATATCCTTCAGTTATTATAGGGCTTTACTTCAGCTTTATACCTTGAACTTTTCCATATCTCTGGTTGCTAAGATACCCTCCTATAATCCAGATTTTTGTATGTGATTTTGGACACCATCCTCCAGAGGAGACTTTGGAAGACATGAGAAAAGGAAAACATGCAAGATTCACTTCATCTACTGGGTTTGAAGCAGGGGTGGGTTGTTGCCGGCTTTACTATGGTTCGCAATGCCCGCGTGCATGCTGTTCAATGTAAATTGTTCTGTGTGCATGTGCAGAACAATTTACATTGAACTGCGCACGTGCAATCACTAAAATTCAACATGGCGGTGGCAAGGGAACCAGTTCGGGGGTGTAGCAGGCCTGGGTCTCTTCTGGTTCTGTGACCCAGGCCTGAATTCCACTACCAGTTTGGCTGAACCGGACCCAACCGGCAGCAACCCACCTCTGCTTTGAAGGGATGAGAAGGTATTTGAGGAAAACCTTGTACAGCAATCAACTCAAATTATACCTTTTCCTCACAGCACTGTTTATACACTTAACATGTGGTCTATTTCTGTCTTTGAGGCTCCAGTTAGGTGGAATCTGGGCATTTCCTGCATCTTTTCAATCTTATAATCATTAAAAACATCTGTCGGGGGGGGGACCCTGACTCCATCAAAGGCCTAGGTTTTATCTGA